ACCGAGCCTGCCACGTCAACACCAAGGGACGACGCACAAAATGGCGACTCGGTGTGCTCGGGGCAACAGTGCGGAAAGCACCGAAGGACCTACGACACAACTCGCTGTGATGGGAACTTTGCAAAGGGACTGCTAGGTGACCTTGGAGCCATTGGTACGGTGGGGCCTGTGGTGTGCATGAGTTGTGTGTCTGGCAAGAGAGATGCTATAAGTACCTGAGGTACTTCATGCTGAAGACAGGACATCCACATGCACACGACCGCTTCGTGAAGGCTACATTCGTCACTAGTGCTGCTGCTGTCATTACGGCCGAATTCGGATTTGGCTAAAGTTTAGGATGTTTTTCGAGTTTTGTGACATTTTAGCAGCACTTTTCTCAAACTTCACAAACCTTCACACCCTGTGTATGTATATTGTGTGATTTATCCCCGTCTTCTGACATGTATTGGGCCGACGTTTGCAGTCATCCATGATGATGTCCCCCACCAAGGAGTCTGCAGTACGTCCAAATGTCGCGGTCATGTGAAAGCCCCCTCGTTCGTTTCCTCACGAGATCTTAACCTGTAGACATACAATATTTATTCTTGTTTGATGTCCATCAGTCACATAAAAACGAGAGACCTCAACTCGAACCACACAAGCTATTATTAATGCTACTTCGAAGTACTATTAATACTCCGTAAGTAGTACCAGTATGGTTGTACACGTCACGTAGAAACATCCCAAATCTATTTCATATTCGTTTCTCAAATTTTAGTAAATCGTGACGCAGTTTCGACAGATTTCGCCGTGGTGAAGAGATGGTACGTCTCACAATCAAATTTGGCGAAGAATTGGTCGAGTAATAGACTTTAAACCAAGTAGTATTTTGTTTAGCGCCAATATAGGGCCAGTAGATTTTGGCCACGAACGTTACCTTGATGTTAGTATGAGATTTGTATCCGTACATCGTATCCGTACGCTGAAATACTGCCTTGCAGAAATAAAACGCACAAGTTTTAGGTTTAACTAACACAATTGAAACACGTTTTATAGTAAAACCTTCTATACATGTATGTATCTGAATTGGCCAGTTGGAAGGTTATTGTTGACGTTTACCATACTACGTTACTCGAGTATTGTGCTTTGCACTTGTTTTGGCGTCAGTTTTACTTGGCTAAAAGAGTGGTACTTCTGCTGTAACTGTGTTACAAAGTTGAATAAATACCTGGTGTTTTAGCTAATTCACTGGGGTTTTATAAATGCCAAATAACTCTAAGCAATAACAATCACATGTGATGTTGAAGTGACCAAAACACCTTGGCTGTTATTCCATCGCAGTACATACTACCTGCATGTACTACTCGATGGAACAAGAAGATGGCGTGGTTTTCTACGATGTGGCACCATACGTACTCGCTGTACGGTAGAACTCCGGCGCATGTCCTCGCTGTGTGTCATTTGTAATATCAATAGTTGATCATGATGACCAGTGAATTGTGCAATTCGGTCCCGAGAATAGCAGATATAACTTCGATTTGCACTTTTCAAATGTGCAAAAGCGAGAGAGTTGCATAAATTACTTCCGTATAATTACATTCTGTAACGAAACGTGATTGCAAATCACGGTACGCTGATCGAAGTCAAAATTGGTAATTTTGAAAAGATCAATACATGGCTAGTTTAGCCTTGAATACACTACAGTTTACGGTACATCGAAACAGGGGGACTCGTAATTCTATTGTCGATATGAAACGTAGTCACTAGAGTTTATATAGAACTAGATCATTTTCGTCATGAAAAGTGTTTCGGGCCATTCTCTATACTAATAGTATCATTTACACTATAACTACGTACTATAACTACGTACTATTAATAGTAACGTTACTTACTAGTATTGTGCTTTTCACTCGTTTTGGCTATTATTCACACCATAAACTTGAGTGTTTGTTAGATCGACCCCAGTGTTTTAGATAATCCCAATAACTTGGTAAGCAAACATCTTGTTTAACGCTGTGACGTTAGTTAAAGTTGGTCCAAATCGTCTTTGTTGTTGAGAAATCGATAAAAAGCTAAGGGGAATCCATTTTCGTGCCATGTATTACCGTATAGTGTATATGCATTGCGACGGATTAATCTATTGCGACTCCTGTAATAACTGATATATTTCTTGTAATAACTGATATTTACTTGTGAACATGTTGAATATACTTCAAATTTGTATGACGCAATGGATTAACAAAATTTTGAGAACGAGTGTCGGTATCACCTGTCGCAATACATATACACTATACGGTATACCTAGATCGTTTACGTTGTACTACGTAGTAATATATTTTGCATTTGACGATCATTACAAAAATCTATTTCCAACTAACTGCCAATCCTAGTCACTACCAATTGTCGCTATATATAACAGGCGTCTCCACCGACAGATAGTTTTGCATCAAGTTTTTGCTTCAGTTTCCTAGTAGTACTAGTAGGATTAATACCTACCTATTGACAGGTATTAATAGTACTAACGTTACTTGGTAACATGACTAGTGTATATACATCATGTATCTTGGTCAAGTTACGTAGTACTTAATATATTTCAACACCACTTACGCCGCCAGCGTTGTGTCTTGAAGCAGAGACGAACGCAAACCGAAAAAGGAGAGTGATCGTCCTTATAGATTGGCCTCTTCCAGCTCCGTGTCGTATCTAAACCCACATTATAAACCCCAATAACTACGAACAACTAACTACTAGTACACACCGTTTCTTGTCGATTTCTTGCGCCTCGTACCACGGCGCCTTGTCGGCTTCCGACATATCGAGCCACAGCTCAGTCAGCCGAGACATCAAGTCCACAATGCCAGTGTCCGCCGGCATGGATGCGCGCACTTGATTGCGCTTTGCCAAGCTAAACAGCACGTACGCACTCCGGGGCTTTCTCGGCGGCTTTTTCAATTCCGCTTCTATTTGAGCCACCAAAAAAAATATCATAGTGAGACAATATAGACTCATTGGTATATATATAGAGAGATAGTACGCTTTTTCGCTTTCTTGGACGACGCTTGCTTCATGGCAGAGGGGGACCAGGGTGACTTTGGCAGGCGGGGGCTGTCCTTGCTGGATGCCGCAGCAGCTCCGTCTTTCGACTCGTCGTCATCCAGTGGACGTTTGCGGCTGCTAGCAATAAACCACACCATGAGGCCCAGAATAAGCAATAACAACCATGGTTTATTGTCAAATCGATTCGAAACTCGAGCATTGAATGTCTGAGGAGGCAAACAATCGATTCAAGAACCGCCCAAGTCCAGTTCCTCACATTAGGTACTACTGTATACTATAGTACATGTTTGTATTGAATAGTTTATATACCGAGGTTACATTTTTTATCCAATGGATTCGACAAGCGAATTGGCGAAATAAATACACATATGAAATGGCCAAATCTCGGGAAACACACAAGATCCACAATGTAAACGTCTCTCAAAACACATTCACACGATATTCCTCCCACATATATATATATACAGTACATTATTTACGTATACCAAACATGTCCAAATATAAGTCGTCTCAAATCACACACACACTATATATATACATATATACATACCGAGAAGACGACAACGCGACAGCATATTCAGGATGCAGCCGCCACGCCGGTTGGCCAGGTTTGCTGTGCGCAATCTGCGATACAGATTAGTAAACCACATTCAGAACGAGTATCCATCGTTCGTTCGTACGGGCGCGGCGTATAGCTGGATAATCGCTAGCACTTGGCTCAACTGGCACTTGACGTGCTTGGCGCAGAATTTGAGCGCAATTGTAGACGCCTCCTTGTCTGTGGACTGGGCGATCATCTGGCGAAGCTCTTCGCGGACTGGCTCGGGCAGCGCGTCGTCCACTTTGGCACTGTCGACGTCCGCCTTGGTCTCCTTCTTTTGGCGCTTGGCTTCGCGGGCGGCTTGCATCTTCTTGGCCTCTTTCATGATCTTTTCATCCACGAGGGCTTGGTTCTATAATGAGTATGGACAATTATATATAATTGTTTTAATATATATATATATATAGAATTAGTACCCGATTGAGTTCAGCTTTGGCGTCGGCAATTCGTTTGGCCAACTCGTCGCGTTGGTCGGCCAGTTCCCGTTGCAGTGCCGCGTCTTTCTTTTCCTTCAAGTCAAAGTCCACATTGTCCTTTTCGCAAATGCGCATCAACGCATCGCATCTACACATATATGATAATCACGAAAAATTCAAATATATATATATATATCATGATCGAGTCCAGACAAGAATCGATACAATTCGATTTAACCCTCATGGATGTTGATCAACTACTTTCACGCGAATGGATACCAAAAATTCAAATATATATATATCATGATTGAGTCCAGACAAGAATCGACACAATTCGATTTAACCCTCATGGATGTTGATCAACTTCTTTCACGCGAATGGATACCAAAAATTCAAATATATATATATATATCATGATCGACTCCAGACAAGAATCGACACCCTCATGGATGTTGATCAACTCATTTCACTCGCGAATGCATATTTTTCATATATTATATTTATTTAGAAGATCATCATGGATTCCAGTCGACAATCGACACAATTCGATCAAAATATTAATCCACTTTCACTCACGAATCGATATAATTCCTATATATATCTATATATATATATATGGATAGATACATACCGTCGACCCAGCTCCGCCGCCGACCGCGACCGCAGGTAATAGTCGAACGCACAAACGGGCGCCGCGTGGATTTCGCGCTTGATTTTTTCCCACGACCCGTACCCGTACGTGTGCACCAAACACAGCAGCAACCGGTCCTCTTCTTCTGTGAATAATTTCCCCCCTGTATAGAATACCAAGGCAACATTATATATATATATATATATATATATCGAGCGATTATTCACTACATAACAATTCAAGCTATAGTATATTATCGAAAGGTCGTTCGCTCAACAACAATGAAACCTGTATAGAATACCAATACAGCATTATATATGTATATCGAACGATTCGTCACTACATAACAATTAAAGCTATTGTATATATATATATATACATGTATGTTGAATGTTCACTCGCTCAACAAGACTAATCAAAGCTACAGTGGAAAACAAATATAATAATAAAAATCTGTATTGCCATCTAAACTTGCAAAAGTAAACAATCATAAAAAAGTAATCACAAAATTCCCAGTCTATGTCCACCCTGCTATCGATCCCATCAAAGAATATTTATAGATATTTATTACGTTTATACATATTTATTGGCAACGTACCTTTGCCTTGGTAATTGATCACCAAATCGTCGTACGGGTTGGCATAACGCTTGATTTTCAGGGCCGTTTGGTCGGCCAGCCGTTGGATTTCAAGCAACTTGGACTCGCCCTTTTCAATCGACTTGCGGATTTTGTCCCAGTCAGTCAGTTCCGACCCGCGGGTGAAAAATGTGTCGGCATATCGCGCCACTTCGTCGTACGGTTTGACCATTTCCCGCGCAATCGCGGCAAGATTCGATCGACCGTATCTACACATAAGACAAACCACGATAGAACCATATAAGACCACGATAGAACCGATCGCCGTACCGGGCCAGGAGCTTTACAAACAGGAAAAAGTGGGGTTTGTTCCAGTCGCCAAACGCCGTTTGGATCAAATGTTCCTTTTCAGCTTGCAGCGCAGGACTCAAATACATCGACGTCGAGTCAACCGCGTCGCCGCTGGCTTTGGCCAGTTCGTACGCCGACACTTCGATGTCGTGGATTTCCGTCATGCGACGTCGGTTGTAAAACTGCCATTCGTCCATGCGCGGCAGTCTACCAACCAACCGTGTCAAAACGGAAGACTCTTGTCATATGTGTGATGTGTATAGTAATACTATATTTACTATGTGATGTGTATAGTAAATATAGGGAGCCGACATGGGAAAAATGAATGAACCTATAAACATCATACTTGGTAGACAATGGATGACTGCCAAAAATCTTGCAAACCTAATTTTTCTTTTGTAATAATAAAATAAAACCCTCCACAAAAGTGTACGATGCGAAGTCGAAAAATCAACCTTCGCAGGTCTGATACCAAAATATATGCAAATGTATGTATACATCAAAGCCTCTATAAATTGATATTTCCAGAACGACATGAGTTTGGGTTTGCCCCAAAATGCTTCTATCCGGAAGAATTTGACGAGTTTATTTTCGTTTTGCGAGGTTTTTGGCAGTCATTCAATAATTTGTAGTGTGTTTATTGTACACTGGAGCAATACATGGATGGATGAATCGATATAGTCACAATGAAATGTATACAAGTATCATGGACAGAAAAACGAATTTTGGCCAATCAGATTGCACGAAACCAGGATCGAATTAGTGTGTGAAAAGTCCATTAGTGTGAGACCAGGCACCACAGCACACGTTTTTTACATGCAAAATTCAAACAACAACGATCGATTGGTTTGGCGAAACATCAGCACAAATAAGTCCACATTTTGAGTCAAAGGACAATAGAATCATGGAAAACCATACAGAATATAACGACACCACATAACCATCGTCAATATCTCAAAAGTGTCGTCGTGTACGCCCCTTTTATAGCGCATATTTCACCCCAAATCAAGGCTTTCCACACAAACTATCCATCCATGCACAGCAGTCCAAAGCCACACAAAAATCCAAATATTGTGGTCTTTCGAGTGAAATTTCATTGTGACGTGGTTTCTTGTTGGAATTTAAATCGAT